CAGATGACTAGAGCCCATGGGAGAAAAGGGCAGAGCTCTGATTCATGTGCGCTGCTATTATTGCCACTGCCTCTCTGGAGACCGCCAGCCGAGGCTCAAATATGCAGTTTCGCCTTCTTTTAATCTTAAACCCAAATTCACACTCTTGACTCCTAAGACTATGATGGTATACACAGTAGAGTACAGACGATTGAGCTAGCAGGTGTAATTTATTTTGAGGATTTTCAGTTGGGAAAATCTTGCCTCTTTCTTTGGAAGCAACTTTTATTTGGTTGTACAGTATGTGTTTGTTGATGTGTTTTGCCTTGGACTGTGGAATGTGTTATCTTGCCTTCAACGTCTGGAATCTGTCTCCAGGATTTCCTCTGGGAAGTGGCATTTCTTATTTTTTCTTATCCCAGCACACTTCATTGATGTTGACCGATAAGTTCATTCGAAGGTATCAAAGTATATGTCCTTTTTATATGTCACCACCATCCCATGCCATAGCCTTGAACTAATGGATGAGGAACTTTTGTTCTGTTTGCATAAAATTGGAGCCCGTTTTTTTTTTTTAGGAAGTGAATGTCTTGAAATGTGTTTTAATGGTTACTCATTATTGCTAATAGCATACTTCAGTTCCTTTTTTTCCTCCCATGTGGGAGTATACCAGCCATGACTGGCAGGTTTAATATGAAGACAGGCAAGTGCTCTCATATCCTATGTGGAACTAACCTACGGAACATCTGGGTAGGTTTTTCCACCCAGAGGAACAGCCTTTTTGAAACACTTGAATCAGCTGTGAATTCCACTGAAAAAATGATTTGATAGGTGAAAGAATGTGTATTTTTAGTATCTCTGTGACTCCTCATGTACTGTTGTTGTTGTTTTTTTGGCCATGCATACTGACCCAAGTTTCCCTTTAAAATTTAGACTGGGACAGGGAGAAACTCCTGGAAGCTTGGATGTCTAATGCTGAAAACTGCTGTCAGCGCTCAGGTGTTCAGATGCCAACTCCTCCGCCCAGAGGCTACAACACCTGGGACACCCTGCCCTCACCCCGTACGCCTCGCACCACACGCTCATCTATCACCTCCCCGGACGAGATCAGCCTGACCCCTGCTGATGATGATCACTCCTTGGTGAGGGATCAGATTTGTTCCTCTATTAGTGATTGGTGTACGGCCTCTTCTGTGGAGGTGATGTACAATAGTTAGTTTTAATGTAATGAATTTTAATGCATAGGTAGATCAATTGTGGTGGTGTAGCCATGGGGTTAGATCTGGGTTACTGAAATGTTGTAGGTTCAAATCCCATTAATGGGATAAGAATACCAAACATGAATGTTTCTGTTCAAAATCTTGTTACACGGTGCATATCTATGAATCTATATTCACACCAAGGTTGAACTTTCACCTGCAGATAAACCTAAATATTTTTTTGCATATGAAAATGTTGCTCTATGAACATTCTTTCTCCATATTTTTCATTTGCATTTGCAAAAAAGTTTTTCTCTTAAATAAAAACAAGGGCTGCTACAAAATGAAAATGAAAAAAAAAAAAGGAGCGGATATTAGAAAACACTCAAAACAGTTCAACAGTTTGTTTGGTCTGTACTCATAGTAAAATATATTTGCATGTATAATAAACCTGAAAAAAGTACATTTCTAAAATGTGTTCTTTACTTACTTTAGTTTAGTACTTTACTTTAGTTACTACTTTACAGGTGCATCTCAATAAATTAGAATGTCGTGGAAAAGTTCCTTTATTTCAGTAATTCAACTCAAATTGTGAAACTCGTGTATTAAATAAATTCAGTGCACACAGACTGAAGTAGTTTAAGTCTTTGGTTCTTTTAATTGTGATGATTTTGGTTCACATTTAACAAAAACCCACCAATTCACTGTCTCAACAAATTAGAATATGGTGACATGCCAATCAGCTAATCAACTCAAAACACCTGCAACGGTTTCCTGAGCCTTCAAAATGGTCTCTCAGTTTGGTTCACTAGGCTACACAATCATGGGGAAGACTGCTGATCTGACAGTTGTCCAGAAGACAATCATTGACACCCTTCACAAGGAGGGTAAGCCACAAACATTCATTGCCAAAGAAGCTGGCTGTTCACAGAGTGCTGTATCCAAGCATGTTAACAGAAAGTTGAGTGGAAGGAAAAAGTGTGGAAGAAAAAGATGCACAACCAACTGAGAGAACCGCAGCCTTATGAGGATTGTCAAGCAAAATCTATTCAAGAATTTGAGTGAACTTCACAAGGAATGGACTGAGGCTGGGGTCAAGGCATCAAGAGCCACCACACACAGACGTGTCAAGGAATTTGGCTACAGTTGTCGTATTCCTCTTGTTAAGCCACTCCTGAACCACAGACAACGTCAGAGGCGTCTTACCTGGGCTAAGGAGAAGAAGAACTGGACTGTTGCCCAGTGGTCCAAAGTCCTCTTTTCAGATGAGAGCAAGTTTTGTATTTCATTTGGAAACCAAGGTCCTGGAGTCTGGAGGAAGGGTGGAGAAGCTCATAGCCCACGTTGCTTGAAGTCCAGTGTTAAGTTTCCAGAGTCTGTGATGATTTGGGGTGCAATGTCATCTGCTGGTGTTGGTCCATTGTGTTTTTTTGAAAACCAACGTCACTGCACCCGTTTACCAAGAAATTTTGGAGCACTTCATGCTTCCTTCTGCTGACCAGCTTTTTGAAGATGCTGATTTCATTTTCCAGCAGGATTTGGCACCTGCCCACACTGCCAAAAGCATCAAAAGTTGGTTAAATGACCATGGTGTTGGTGTGCTTGACTGGCCAGCAAACTCACCAGACCTGAACCCCATGGAGAATCTATGGGGTATTGTCAAGAGGAAAATGAGAAACAAGAGACCAAAATATGCAGATGAGCTGAAGGCCACTGTCAAAGAAACCTGGGCTTCCATACCACCTCAGCAGTGCCACAAACTGATCACCTCCATGCCACGCCGAATTGAGGTAGTAATTAAAGCAAAAGGAGCCCCTACCAAGTATTGAGTACATGTACAGTATATGAACATACTTTCCAGAAGGCCAACATTTCACTAAAAATGTTTTTTTATTTGTTGTGAATTGGTGGGTTTTTGTTAAATGTGAGCCAAAATCATCTAAAATCAATTAAAAGAACCAAAGACTTAAACTACTTCAGTCTGTGTGCATTGAATTTATTTAATACACGAGTTTCACAATTTGAGTTGAATTACTGAAATAAATGAACTTTTCCACGACATTCTAATTTATTGAGATGCACCTGTATATAAAACTACTGAAAGCCCAGTGTTTTATGCCACAAAAAATGTATCCAGCATGTCCATTGCCTTTATAAAGCCTGTAAATTAACTACCTATTAGTTTCTTTTCTTGGATGAACTTGACATTGGACAGCACTTCTGCTGAAAGCTCAATGGCCTGGTTGAAACCGTTCTCTCCTCCATACGATATGTCAACCAGCTTCAGAACCTTCGCTTGTAACCTCTACATGTGCAGAAGAACCAAATCAGAAAACAAGCAGAATGATGAATTAAGATTGCAAATAATTTGCTGCAAAGAGAACATACCGGATCAAACATGTCTGACTGGCTGAGCTCCGTCTTGAAGTCGGCCGATCCGGCAAGAACCAGTCCTGCCACGTTGACCTTGTCATTGGACACGAAGAGTTGCACAGCCGTCTCTGCTACCTTACGCACATAGTTATGTCTCTTCTCCATCCTCAAACGTGCAAATCGAAGAGCAGACTGTCCTCCTCTACCTAGAGTTAAAGGAAACAAACGTGTAAATACCAAATTCTACGAAGAACGAAAACAGCCACAGCAAGCGATTTGAAGATGTTTACCGTGTTTTTTGGGCAGGTCCACAGTAAATTTGTGCAACACCTCCCTTGTGTTGCCTTGTAAAGTCCCAAACAGGGCGCCACTACCATCAATCACAATGAAGCCGAACTTGCTGTCGTCTGACAACAGAGCTGTTAGAGCCTGTGGATATAAAAATTATATTAAGTGTTACAGTGTTTTAGATAGATAGATAGGATGTAACGGTACGGTTCACAGGGTAAATTCCAAATGCAAGTGATCATCCCTATGCCCTACTCCCTTCGAAGGGCAGAGCCCTTGGAGTGGAGACTTTGGAGTGAGCAGGGCACGTGCGTGCCATTATGTAGCCGTTTGGAATGCACTTGGCAAAGGGAGCGACGTAATTTCCTCATCTTCAGCTGGCATGTTCCCATGACAACGCAGCACGGTGTCAGTCAGCAGATGTCGCTGTTTTAATGGCATAAAAGTCTTTGTTATTAGCATAACTGTTGCAAAAAAACATACATTTTATATTTTAAAAAGTTGTTTAAATATGTTATATATATAACTTTTTAAAATATAAAATGTATGTTTATTTGCAACAGTTATGCTAACAATAGGCATCGGCTGATTACCGGGTTCAAGGTATACCGCGATTTGAAAATTTCAGGGTTTCAAAACCACTAATATTTTCCGTTATACCGTTCCTGCAGTATGCGCTGTTTTTCATGTCTCCTCAAAGACTGAAAGTGCAGGAATCCCTCAGGTTGAGTGCAGTGTAGAGAGTAACACGACCCTCCTCCTCCTCCTGTTGGTGCGAGCAGTCAGTCACGTGCAGTGTTGGAGAAAGCTACTTTTAAAAGTAATGCATTACAATATTGTGTTACTTCCTAAAAAAGTAACCAATTACTTATTTACTTTTTATTGAAAGTAATGCATTACGTTACTTTTGCGTTACTTCTTAAATCTGGGCTGGGCTTGCTTGCTTGTAAAATAAAAAGTTCTATTTTTGGCAAATGTAAAAGCCCTTTCACACCAAAAGCCTCAGGACTTTTATTAATTTCGAGGAAAACAATCTGATTTTTTTTTTTTTTGTGAGTAGTTCTACAATAAATGTGAACATGCATTAATTCATCTCACTCAAAGTAACATTTTACTCCCGATTTCTCTCAACAAGGGGACAGGAGAGCTTTCAATCAATAAATGGGAAAAAAAGTAACTGGCGTTACTTATTAGAAAAAGATATTTTCTTGTATATAAAAAAAAGTAATGCGTTACTTTACTACATGTGCATCTCAATAAATTAGAATGTCGTGGAAAAGTTCATTTATTTCAGTAATTCAACTCAAATTATTCAGTGACTTAAAAAAATTAGTTTTTCACTAACCATGCATAAACATTTTCTCAAAAACACAAACATGTACTTTCATGCTGCTCACAAATTATTGTAGCCCAGTTTGTGCTGAATACAGTGTTATCAGACTTTAGCCATT